TACCCAGTACCAAAAACAATGACAAAATAAGAGCCATTTAAAAACTAGCCTCTTGCTGTAATCCCAGTAACACCAGAGGGGAAGGCAGGAGGATCACAAGTTCAAAGCCAACTTGGGCAATTCGGCTGGACCCTGTCTCAAAATAAAATTAGAAAAGACCTTTTTAAAAAAAATTATTTACATGTGGTGCTGAGAATCAAACCCAGTGCCTCACACATGCTAGGCAAGTGCTCTACTGAGCTACAAGCCCAGTCCTCTATGAAATGTTAAAGTAGAAAGAGAGAATTTTTCTTCACCAAGAACACTTCCCCTATTACTGATTTTTAAAAAGCAAAGAACATTTGGAAAAATAAAGTTTAAATAAAGAAATTCAACCATGTTAAAAATCACCTAAACAGACTATCACTCTTGTCATCATTCTTTTTTTTAAAGAGAGAGAGAATTTTTTAATATTTACTTCCTTTAGTTTTCAGCGGACACAACATCTTTGTTTGTATGTGATGCTGAGGATCGAAACCGGGCCGCACACATGCCAGGCGAGCGCGCTACCACTTGAGCCACATCCCCAGCCCTGTCATCATTCTTAAAATGTTTGCTTTTTTACATCATGACAAAGTTAGCCCTCCCCACTTTTTTCCTCAGTGCTGGGGATTATACCTAGGACATTATACATGCTAGGTAAGGTGCTCTCCCACTGAGCTATACTTGCAACTCCAAGATTACTCTTCTTAACCTTTAGGTTATCTGATGAAAATTTATCTCATGATCAAAACAAGTACCAAGTATTTACGGCCCTTTAAATCTGACCATCTACTACTTAGGCACGAGGGCTCATTTCATTATCCTTGATTCTTAGCACTTACAAGATGTAGCCTTGCTCCATGAAAAGGACACTTCCTACTGCATATTCCAAATCAATGACCTGGAGCAAGTCCATCTTCAGGCAATAGAGCTCCTAAGCCTGTGAGCTGGTTATAAATACCCTAAAGACACAATCAGTTTTACCATGTGAAATAGTTAGGACAAACTCTTAAAATATAGCCTCTACTACTTAACAGTATTAATGGAGGAAGGGAAAATTCATGGATAGTTCTTGATCATTAGACTGTGGTGATGAGGATTAAATACAGGGCCTCATGCATGTGAGGTAAATACCTTACCACCATGAGCCACACCCAGCCCCAATCATTAGACTTTGAAAGAATACCTACTTTGCCAAGCCAATACAACTTTCAGAAAACAAAAGTCATCCTGTTTGTGGTTTTAGGTTGGGTACAAAGTAGTCCTCTCAGTTTAGCAAAGATTTAGTGTTAAAATTCAATCTATAAAAATTTAAAGTATTTTTACAGCTACATCATTTCATTTGATATCTATAAACATGCCAGAAAATACTGGGCAAGTCCTTCACCCATATAAAAATGCTCAGAAAAGTCCTGGCTCTTTAATCTTGAGTGAAAACTAGGTTTAAAACCCAGAACCAGTGGGTGTGATAGCACAGACCTGTAATCCCTAGTGGTTTGGGAAGCTGAGGCAGGATTGTGAATTCAAAACCAGCTTCAGTAAAAGGCCTCAGAGGCGCTAGGCAACTCAGTAAGGCCCAGTGGTTAAGTGCCCCTGGGTACAAAAAAAAAAAAAAGAACTTTTGGGAACAATCTGCAGAGTACTCTTCAGGGTACCATGAACATTTACAGAAAGGTGTATATGTGTAGACAGAATAAGTAGTATTGCTTTAAGTAGCAACTAACTGAAAACTGAATTAGAAACTAACCAAATAATGTCCTATTGCCGAATAATTATAACTAAGCAATTTCCATGTTTTCAAATTCAAAGACACAATTTCAATTTTCAATTCAAAGATACAATTTTACTGCATTTATCATCATGTGCCTATCACTGTGAAATCTATCAAAGGATTTTTTTTTCCTTTTGGTACCAGGGACTGAACTGAGGGGTACGCAACCACTGAGCCACATCCTCAGCCCTATTTTTGCATTTTTAAATTTAGAGACAGGGTCTCACTAAGTTGCTTAGTGCCTCGAGGTTGCTGAGGTTTGTTTTGAACTGTGATCCTTCTGTCTCCACCTGAGAGGATGGGATCACAGGCATGCGCCACATCACCCTAGTTATTTTTCAAAGTACTGTGAAGACTAAATTGCTTGTCCAGAGAGGAGTATCCAGAAATAAGATATAAACCATTTTCAGGGGAAAACATGCATGCATTTATTTTTAAGAATTCCCAATAAGGGGGAAAATTCAACATCTTTAAAAATGTGTTTATTTTTTTAAAAAATCAGTTGTGTACAAAAGTGTTTCGTAGTTTTTAATTCTCAAGACAAACACCCAACCCTCCACCCACACCCCACCCTACTTCGATGGTATTTCTGGTAACCCACCCATTTTCCCCTTACAGGAAGTTAATGGCTCAGAATAGACCCTCCTACAGAATTTATCATCACTAACAGATTGTTTAGAGTAGGGATCTAGAGACGCTAACAAGCAAGGTTCTTTCTCAGTGAGGTTAATGAGAATCCCTATAATGGCAGTAGACTTCCAGCAGACACCACAACAAAGCACCATCAATTGCTGAAAGCTAAAAAATAGATATTATTTTCAATAGTATTTCATTTTCTATTGGAAAAGTCTTTAAATTACATTAAATAAGTCTCTTTTCCCCCAAAGAAATAGTCTAGCTTTTATTATGATGCCTGTAAAAAATAGGTAACAGCAAGCAGATAGGATTCGTTCACAGCACAGTGCATTGACTTCTCTCCACTCACCCTCAGAACCAAACTTATAAATTGTGCCACACCTGATTATATATAGCAGCATGGTTGAAATAACCAAGCAAAAGGTGGCACATTCACAACTCACATTAGGTGATGATCACAGGTTTATGAGGTTAGATCAGTCCAATAAAGCAGTAACAGAACAGGACAAGGGAGATAACAACACTCCCCTACCCCTTTGTCACAAGATTTTTCATCTGTATTGCAACAGTGCAAATATAATGTATGACAATTTGTAGACACTGGAAAAAAGTCACACTTGGGAAAAAGACTATTTATCAGTAAATACTTCAAGTTGCCTTCCTCCCAGTGACAGCAACTGGCTGATGATAAGCATTTAATTCAAATTGGTAAAGAATGGAAATGCAACTTTCTAAAATCAATGGTTTGTACCCTGGAATTCAAATTCCTTGAAACTAGAAAAAGTGATTAATATATCATTTTGTAAAAGTCCATGAAATAAAGTTAAATGTAAACAGACAGCTTCCTTTTTCATATCTAACATTGTTTCCATTTATATACAAGAAGGTATACCTGGCTCCAGCTCTTCTCTACCCAGATTCATATTAAATCTTTCAAACTGACAATTCTTAACTTCCCATGTTGCTACACAGGACTGTGAAAACATTATCATACTTTCTATAGAGTTTGAAAAGCTCAAATCAGGCATACACTTACAGTCAAGATCTGCTTTTCACATTGGTAAACTTATTAAGCAGCCTAAACAGTAATATAATACGCTGCATTCTGTAGTGCATAAATAAGCAAAATGTAATTGCCAAATCCTTCTTACAGATACTTAAAAAGAATTATTTTGCATAGTTTTAAGTTCCATAAACAATCACATATGAAAAACTTCAGGAAAAAAAAATGAAAAAAGGTCTTTCATTTCAAAAATTACTTGCAAAAAAAAAAAAAAACAAAAAAAAAAAAAAAAAAAAAACCTCAAATTCCAAACATTTACATATCCTCAAAGGTGTTATGTGTTTTAAGTAAGCCATAGTCACAATTCTAAACATTTCAGAGAACCAACTCAGAGCATCTAAATTAGTGCCAAATTCCTCAAATATTTACATACCACTGTGTATTTAGGTCCCAAACTAGAACTCATTCAATCATTGATTTGTAATATTTGTACTAACATATGACTTAAGTATTTTTCAAAAGTTAGGCATATACTCAGGAAAAAGACTTGATTATAATAAAAGCCTACCATAGTGTAGGTGAATAATGGCAAATGTGCCTGTACTAAATGGGATCTCATGGGGAAGCTGGGGGGAAGACTTTTTTTTTTTTTTAACTGATATATTCTAAAACACTGCAAATTACAAAAATAATTTCCACCAGGGTACTTATCTTATAGGCCTGAATTTTTAGTATCCTTTTCCCAAACATACTTAAGAACAGAAGGAAAAAGAAATTGTGTTAGTTTCTGTATTTGGGGAACTACATCTACATATAGAGAAGTGAAAAAGAAAAAACAAAACCATAAAGACAGTAGAAAATGTTAATAGAAAGGAAGGATTATCATCACATTTAAGGTAACTGAGGAAAATAACTTTTTATAATTAAGAACTCATTATGTCAAACCAAATATTGTATCTTCCAATTTCTGGGTACTGGAGATGCTGAAGTATAGTCAGATGAGCAGATACAATATACAGCCAACATACATAAAAATCACAGCAGGGCAGAGCTGCCTCCAGCAGCCAAGTGTGTAATGCTTGACTTTGGTAATCTCTGACTTCTCTCTCCTTTGTGTAACCATAGACAATTTAAACATACCCTGATAATATAGGCAAATAGTAAACTGGATAGATGTGATAATGTTTATAATCCAAATACTACTAATATCATCACCAACCCCCTCCACTAAAAAAAAAAAAAATTAATACTAACCAAATGTGGGTCAAACTATCCATATTTTCACACAATCCCATCTTACTTCAAAATATAAAAAAAAGTTCGAGGTTTTAGCTATTTAAAATAAATAAAGAAAAATCTTGTTTCCTTTGGCATCTTTAGAAAATAACTAAATTATAGCAATAAAAGGATGTGATTGCATATAAAGGAATTTATGCTTAAGCAAACATATAAGGGAAAAATACACAGCAACTTGTGTTTAGTATGCAATAGTATCACTATAAGAGTTCACTGTTCATTAGAAAAGCCTTATCAGTTTTTGGAAGAACCTTCACATCTTTAACATTACAATATATTTAATAATGGTTCTTTTATTGCTTCTAGTATCAAGATTATTGAAAAGTCAAATGAAGTTATGCTGACTTAATAGGTTCAAAGGTATTTTCCAACACTTCAACGATTATAACTTAAGATAAATAACACTTGAAGAAAGCAAACCTTATATGATTCTCAATATACAGCCTTACTTTAATTCAATCTGATTGCATTACATTTTTGTTATTTTGCATTGGTCCTGAAAATTGAATAAGACTTGGATTTCTATGTATAGAACTGCCTGCATAAATCTACTTCAACCTTCATAAAATGGTCAAATTAAGTGTTTGAGCTTGCAAAACTAATAATTTTCAAACTTTTGAACTTAGAATGAAATGTAACTTTAATATGAATAGAAAGTCTGACTATGTACAAGAAAGGTAAAGTTTTCAATTCTCATATTATCAGAAACATCATAAAGAAAGCTAGATTTATAACACAATTCTATTCCTATGTGCATTTGAAGTATGTACAATAAAACACCAACACAGCTTTCAGGTGTTAATATGGGGAAGGTGCAAGCAAGAGTGACTTTTAAATTATCTGATAAAACAATCTCTATGAAGCCCAATATTAGGCTAAAAATTACCAGATATAGTTCATTGCATCTTTCTAAGTTCTCAACAAAAAAATTCCTTCAGTTTAAAAATCAATGTCAAATTCACTGAAAAACTAAGTTGGGTTCTTTCATTAAATCTGGGAATACTGCAACGTCAAGTATTTACTGGTTTTGCAAGAAAAAAATTGCCAGCTCCATTTTAACATTCTTACAAGAGTGTTTAAAAAACTGTGACAAAACATTCCAAATCTATGACCTAAAATTGGAGCAAGGGATACTGTCCCTCAGCACGTTTCCCCACCAACTACAGAGAACTTTACCATCAGAATATTAGCTGTGTGTGGTAAGAGGGGGAAAACAGATATAGTGTCCCAGTCTGTTAGCAGGGACATAAAGGCTCTGAATAGGTCACCATCTTCGATTCTGGATAAATCTCATATTTAAGAATTTTCTAATGCTTAAAATGGTGGTCTTTTCAGCTACCCATCCTAAGAAGTCAAGTACAAGCATGCAAGTAAATTCACAGGCACAGAGGATCCATGTTAAAAACAGTTAAGGTAGCTGTGATGCAACACCAACAATTTGAATGGCCCTGACACACTCAAAATATTATCTTAATTATTCAACAAAATCCTGAAGCAAACTCTTGCTAGTCTTGTTACACTGCTAAACACTAAAGTAGCATGTTTTTTCCATGGTTTTAGCTTAGCTCAAAGAATCTTTACACTATTAAGTATGAAAAAAAAAAATTAAAGTATTTCCCCTTTTTAAATTTACACAGACGTTTAATTAGCTTTATTTACAGAGCAGGGATTTTTTTTTTTTTTTTCAGTCTCCAATGGTGCCTAGATAACATCATTAGGCAAGATTGCCAGTTTAAAAGAAATCTATGCAGAATCCTAAAAATAACAGATGTTGGTGCTCCTCAAGAAGAGGCAAGTTTGACTATCAGCAGCTCTCTCTCTAGGGCTCAGTTACTCAGAAGCAATTCTGTTGCAGTCTCTACATCCCATGATTTTGAAGACAAGGCCACTATTACTGCATTCTGTAGAGAAAAAAAAGAGAAGGCGACAACAAAAATCAAATCTCAAGGAAATATTTTTAAAATAATCACTATTCTTTTTAATGAGAAATCATTCATTGTTTCTTAAAGTTGCCTCATACTTTCAGCGCATATAAAGTTTCTAAAACCAATGACTGGTAATCAACAAAAAGAAAAAATAATCAGGGATTTTTAGTAATAGAAAAATTGTTTATCAAAATTAGATTTTTCTCTTATTTGCTAAACCAATCTGCTAAGATTTCCAGCAATAATTTAAAACAAAATATATATCAAAATCAACATTCCCTTATGTACTTACCCTATCGAAGCCCATAGCACATAGGTTTTCTATTTTTTTGGTGTATTCTGGACTAGAAACTGGTGCTCCAGCATACACGTGTGCCCAAAGTCGAGCTGTTTGTTTGAACATTTCAGGATTTTGTTTGTACTACATGGGGGAAAAAATTGATTGACATGACAATAGTTATAATATTCAATATAATAGTTCATCTATTAATTACCTACGACCCTGCTTTTATTTTTTTAATTTTTTTTGTGGAGCTGCAGATTGAACCCAGGGCCTTGGCCTTGTGCATGCATGGCAAGCACTCTACGAATTGAGCTATATTACTGAAGCCCTAATACCCTGCTTTTTTATAAATAAAATGAATTTACATTTAAAATGTGATTCATTGGGTCTGGCTCAGTAGTACATGTCTAAATCCCAACAATTTAGTTGGTTGAGGCAGGAGGATCCCAAGTTGGAGGCCAGTCTGGGTAACTTAGTAAGACCCAGTCTAAAAATGAAAAGTAAAACGGGTCGGGGATGTAGTTCAATGATAGAAGAGTACCTTAGGGTCAATTCTGAGTGCAGGGGCAAAGAGGGTATTCACTGGGCTGAGAGTTTAGTTTTCAATCTCTAGCACACCCACCCTATAAAAGTGATTCACATTTCAATGTGTCATTAAAGAAAACACTGCTTAACATGAAACTTTGATTCATAAGATGGATTGATGGAAGGCACACCACCACCATCAAAGAAAAAAAAAGAAAGAAAAAATTCTACTTTCATCTCCAAATTCCACAAAAACAATTAGCAAAAACCTAACATTAAGTTAGGGGTTAGAGTTGTGGCTCAGTGGTAGAGTGCTCGCCTCACATTTGTGAGGCGCTGGGTTTGATCCTTAGCACCATATAAAAATAAAGAAATAAGGGTATTATGTCCATTCAAAACTTAAAAAGGGAAGTGAGTTCCAGTGAATTTGATAGATTTTTAATATTAAGTGAAGTGAGAGATATTGCAAAGATTGCACAACTTTATACAACTAAACATATAAAATTATATGAAAATCATCTAATAAACGGGACCAACTTTGGTACTAACCATAGCTCAGGCTAAAATACAACTAGATTTTTGCAGTTTTCTTAGAGTTGTATTAGTGCAGAGTGCTTTCTTTCTTTTGACAAGGCAAGTGCTCTACCACTGAGCTGTAACTCCCAGTCCAAGTGAAGAATGATTTAAGAAAATTCTACATTTACAGTTCTCATAGCATGTTATACCCTTTCAGTAATGGGAATAGGACCTCACAAAATGGCTGAGGCTGACTATGAACTTGCAAACCTCCTGCCTCAGCCTCCCAAGCAGCTGTTATACCAGGTTTTCAGATGATTATTAATTCAAAATAATTTAAAAAGTAATGTTTCCCATATAAGCTGGAAAAAAAATGTAAATTAAATTCATTCTCAAACACTACAGGAGCATCATGGCATAGTAAAACAAAATGTAAATGAGTAACAGTTCATGTTATAATATTTCTCTTTAAAAGTATATAAACATTTTGAATATTTTAAGACTCATAAGCTTCTATCACATATTAAAATGATAATCTTATTTCTACCATTAATGAATAAGAAAAAATAATTTAAAAAATTTAAAAAATCTTGTTGGAGGGTACCAAGGGTACTTAACCACTGAACCACATCCCCAAACCTTTTTTATTTTGAGGCAGATCTCCCTAAGTTGCAGAGGTTGGCTTTGAACTTTTAATCCTCCTGCCTCAGCCTTCAGAGTCGCTGTGATTTCAGGCGTGTACCACTACACCAAGCATAAATAAAAATTTTAACTATTTTTGGTATAAAACCTTTTAGTTTAACTTCAACCTGTGAAAATGTGAAAACTGGAATTCAAGTCATATTACTTGACTATTAAACAAAATAAATATGTACATATACATTATATGAAAAACAATAATTCCAAGCACTCTCAGAAAATTAACAGGACATATTATCAAGAATATGAATACACACACACACACACACACACAGGCTGGGGCTGTAGCTCAGTGGTAGAGCACTTGCCTAGCACAAATGAGCACTGGGTTCAATTCTCAGAACCTCATATAAATAAATAAATACATAAAATAAAGGTCCACTGACAACTAAAAAAAAAAAAAAAGAATATATGCATGAGGGCTGGGGATATAATTCAGTTGGTGGAGTGCCTGCCTCGCATGCACAAGGTTCAATCCCTAGCACTACAAAAAAAAAAAAAAATAAATAAAAAAAAAATATATATATATATATATATATGCATGAAATAAAGAATGGATAGATCTTAAAGGGAAAGGAAGAAGAACAGAACAGTTTCTAAGAATAGACAATACATAAATTGAAATCTAACAGGATAAAGAGGTTTGTTAGGAGGAAACATTTCCTTTCAGAGGAAATATGGCAGAGAGAATGAAAAGACACATAAAAAGAAGTGCAATTTCAGCTGGGTACAGATGGTACACGCTTGTAATGCCAGTTACTCAGAGTCTGAGGCAGGAGGATCAAAGTTCATGGCGATGAACATGGGTTTGTAGACAGTCCAAATCATGGAGAACCTCTTCAAACTAAAGAATTTGGATTCAAATAAGTGATAATGGAGCTATTAACAAGTTTTTAGTAGCAAAGTAAAGTAACATTTATATTGTATAAAACTGTTATCAATGTAGAAGATGGAGAAAAGGAAAAGGTTCACAAAGAGAGAACAGAAGAAATGGGCCAAGTGTGATAGAGCACACCTGTAATTCCAGCACTCAGAAGACTGAGGTAGGAGAATCACAAGTTCAAGGCCAGCTGGACAACTCAGTGAGAACTGGTCTCAAAATAACAAAGGTCTTGGAATATAACCTAGTTGTAAAGTTCATGTGTTCAATGGCGAGTTAAGGGGAGAGAGGTGTGAGAAATTAAAGGAAAAGGGGACCTATGGCTATCAGAGTGTATATGAAAACACTGACAGAAACTGGTGATGCAATCAAGAGCAGAGGTGGGAGGGACAGAGGGAGAGACTGCTCATAAGTGCACAAGGAGAAGCATGCCCAACATGCTCAAGACCCAGGGTATGGTCCATAACGTTAAGAGGGGGAGAAAAGAGGAAGAAAAGGAGACATGGAGAAAATCTCCAAAAGCTGTGTGACTTGGGTATTTAAATAAACTGGTGACAGTATCATAAAAAATAAACTGATTTGCAGTGTTTTAAGATTCTGCATTCAGTTTCAGCAATGTGTTGTATCTAAGGGGCATTCCTATAGAGCTACTTTTGCAGTTTAAAAGATGCTCAGGAGGGAGGTCAATCCTAAACATTTTGGACAACGTACAAGTGGTAACATCAGTGTAGATATGATCTCCCAAGTGAATATATACAATGGAAGGTAAAGGGAACAACATCAGAATAAGCAAGTTACATTTAAAGGACTAAAATAATGAATAATTGTAGGAACTAAGAAGGAACAACTACAAATATGAGAAGAGAAGTATCTCATAAATCAAGAGATTTCTAGGTTTAAAAGTGTTCAGCAAATGGTAATAGCTTAGAATAGAGCTTGGCAGACTTATTTTTTTTTAAAGGGCCAGATATTGATAATTTAAAACTTTCAGACCTCACAGTTTCTGTTGAGTGTTGCCACTATAGCTAGAAAGAACACAAGTAAGTGTGGCTGTATTCAAATAAAGCATTATTTATAAAACCAGCCAATACAACTATAATTTACTGATCACTTACCTTAGTGATTAAATACCAGAACTAGAAACTATTTATTCTGTTTAGCCAATTAGAAAGTCATTGGTAATGCTACTATTCCAGTTCACTACCATGGTAGGAAATGACTAAAATTATCACCAGAAAAGATCAAAACTGAATGGAAGAGCTGGACAGGGTAGTACACACCTATAATCCCAGAAGCTTGGGTGGCTGAGGCAGGGGGATTGCAAGTTCAAAGACAGCCTCAGCAACTTAGTGAGGCTGTAAGCAACCTAGCAAGACCCTATCTCAAAATACAAAGTAAAAAAAGGGCTAGGATGTGGGTCAGTGGTTAAGCACCCTTGGGTTCAATCCCTAGTACAAAAATTAAAAAAAAAAAAAAAAAAAAGTAAGGATGAACCTCTGTTCATGATACATACATAATATAATATGTGTAGTAAAATGTTAATCACAGAATCTAGAAGCTGGGGGGATACATACTATGATCCCTGCAATTCAGCAGGCTGAAACATTGCAAGTTCAAGATCACCCTAAGCAATATAGCAGAACAACATCTCAAAATAAATAAGTAAATCTATCCACCTAAATAGTAGATACATGGGTGTTCACCTTTTTTGTTGTTTTTGTGGTGCTGGGGAAATCAAACCCAGGGCCTTGTGCATGCTAGGTTAAGTGCTCTTTTACTGAGCTACCCTGTCTAGCCCTCACTGTAATTCTTCTGATTGTACGTTTGGAAACACTCAAACATTAGAAAAATAGCACCTATCATGTACGCAATTAAACTATGTTAAAAATAAGGGTTTCACTATTACATCTGACAAAATCATCTTACTATGAGAAAGGAAACCATTTCCAAATTTAGTTCCAATAGCTCATGCTCATGAATTAACATCACAAACCACTAGAGACTCATCAACAGGTATAAGGAAGACTTTCAAAAGCATCACCTTACCTGATTTGCTACTACTGCATCTTGTGGATCATCCGGTTCTGCAGCTGCCAACAATGCTTGCAATGACAATAATACCGTGCGTAGAGTCATTGCTGCTGCCCTAAATTTCAAAACAGGAAAATACTCCAATTATAAGGACTTTGTATGGCAAAAGTCAAGTCAATGTTTTCCTGAATAAAACAAAAATCTACTAGTGCTAAGTTATTTTTACTTATAGAAGTTTATATTATATATACCTGCCTCTCTTTTTTGTTCTTTACAATGGGCTTTTCTATTTCTTTAGATAATTCAAATAAATTCCATCCCATATAGGCTTTTTTAAAATTATTATTGTTATTAATACCTTTCTTGTCAGCTCTATCCACTAAAGTTTTAACCATTTTTCTAGACATATAGTGAAAAAACATTAGTACTAAATAGCCTGTGGAAATGTCATTCAATGGCACACTAAAGACAAATAAGATACTACTGAGTAGATATCTTTTTTTTGGGGGGGGGGGGTACGGGGGATTGAACTCGGGGGCACTTAACCACTGAGACACATCCCAGCCCTTTGTTATTATTTTATTTAGAAACAGGGCTCACTGAATTGCTTAGGGCCTTGCTGAGTTGCTGTGGCTAGCTTTAAACTGCATTCCTCCTGCTTTGTAATCCCAAATTGCTGGGATTACAGGAGGTATGCCACCAGGCCAGGTGTAAATACCTTTTATTTTCAAGAAAGTCTTAAATAATGCCATATTATTCTGAAATGGGATAAGCTTTTTGGTCAAAATGCAATACTTAATTCATATTTCTAAATATGAATTAAGTATTGCATTTTTACCAAAAAGCAATACTTAATTCTTAATAAAAGAAAATATCTTTTATAAAGTAATTATTTACCTAGAAAAATGAGATCTATCTATCTAGAGAAACTTCTTGGCATCTGTTAAAAATGTATTTCAGCCTTTTCCCTGCTGTCAACAAGTTGTACGGGGGCAGAGGCGGAGGCTCCAGTTACTTTAAGATTCGGCTTCATCCATAACCCATAACCATAACCTTTTGCCATGGCGCCATGGCCAAGGAAGGCATTGCTGCTAGAGGTGTAGTGGACTTCAACACTGCTTTACAAGAGGTGTTGAAGACTGCCCTCATCCACAATGGTTTTGCATGTGGAATTCACGAAGCTGCCACAGTCTTAGACAAGAAACTAGGAGAATGGGCAGCCCTCTGTAAAACTGACCCAGAGGGCAAACCTGTAAAGTGGTTGGTTGCAATTGTGGTCTATGGCAAAGAATCTCAGGCCAAGATTGTTAACAAAGAGTACTTCAAATGCAACAAATGAGCAAATAAATTTTTCACTCACATTCCTAAAAAAAAAAAAAAAAAAAGTATTTTATCAGGCTGGGTTGGTGGCTCAGTGGTAGAGCACTTGCCTAGCATGTGTGAGGCACTGAGTTTGATTCTCAGCACCACATATAAATAAATATATAAAGTCCATCAACAACTAAAAAATTTTTTTAAACGTTTTATCAAATAATATTAAAATGTTTATAAACATGAAAAATATAATGCTGACATACCAAAAATGTTGAAGAACATATCAATATGCACATTCTTTTTAATACAAATGAGACCATTCTAAACCAGCCTTTTCCAATTGGGTTCCTGATTCAACCCACAGAACAGATAAGGTTCCTCTATTTTCCCACAGTTGGTATATAAATAGGACCATTCTTATGTTTAAGAGAAAAGTAAATTTATTTCCAATATAGATTTCTTATGGCAGTGAATCGCAACTAAATGTTGTTCCCCTAACCAGCAGCATCAGCATCACTTGGGAATTTTTAAGTAATGAAAATTCTTCCCACCCCACACCCACCAAATCAGAAAACAAGTGTTTTTTTTTGTTTTTGTTGTTTTTATTTAATTTTATTTTTTGTACTGGGTATGGAATTCAGGGGCACTCAGTCACTGAGCCACATCCCAGCCCTATTTTGTATTTTATTTAGAGACAGGGGTCTCACTGAGTTGTTTAGCATCTCACCGTTGCTAAGGTTGGCTTTGAATTTTCGATCCTCCTGCTTCAGCCTCCTGAGCGGCTGGGATTATAGGGGTGTGCCACAGTGCCCGGCACAGGTGTGTTTTAACAGCTTCTCCAATTGATTCTAATGTATGCTGATTTATGAAAAATACTGTTCTTTAAGCTCAAGCTAACTAACAAAGGTTGTTCTATACTAATGAAATAAAAACAGTATGACATCTGTTATGTCTGTATTTTATATCCTGAGAGGAAAAAAAAAAACACATTATAAATGATTCTTTAAAAATGTTCATAGAATAAAATTTTTAATGATAAATTTATCATTTTAGATAAGCTACTAGAACTGAAAAAACTGGCAATGATGCTAAAAAACAAACATAGCTGAAATGCTAATTAGTATTTAAAACAATACAGCTTCACAAGTTGTTTTCAACAGTCATAAAAACTTTAATATGGACACTGTTAAGACAAAAGTTAAGATGGGTGTGGTGGCACACGTGTATAATCCCAGTGGCAGGGGAGGCTGAAGCAGGACGATGGTGAGCTCAAAGCCAACTTCAGCAATGGTGAGATGCTTAGCAACTCAGTGAGACCCTGTCTCTAAATAAAAAACAAAATAGGGCTGGGGATGTGGCTCAGTGGTTGAACGCCTGAGTTCAATCTCTAGTACCAAAAAAAAAAAAAAAAAAGGGGGGGGTAAAACATACAAAGCCAAATTCATATCTTAAATATTCATTCTTGTCTTTCCATTATCACAATAATAAGAAAATATTTTATGAAGAAAATACATTTTACAAAGAGTACATGTTTATAAAAGCATATACACAGCCTGACGTGGTGGTGTCCACCTGTTATACCAGTGACTTGGAAGGCTGAGGCAAAAGGCTCACAAGTTCAATGTTAGCCTCGACAATTCAGTGAGGCCTTAACTCAAAATAAAAAGGTCGAGGAATGTAGCTTAATGATAAAGCACCAGTAGGTTCAATCCCCAGTACTTAAACAGTACGACATCTGTTAAAAAACGAAAAATAAAAATAAAACAAAAACATATACACATCAAAAATTGCCTAGATGTAAAACATAAAGCTAACTGAAATCACCCAAACCAAAAAGGGGAAAAAAGACAAAGTATCATAGAAATGAATATATAACACTTAGCCTCGATACTTAATATCTCATTAGGCTTTTTGCATACTTTAGCAGAGCTGAGGCTTCAATGTGGAACTTGCACATGCTAGGCAAGAGTTCTACCATTGATGTGTACCCCTAATCTAACCAATGGAGTTTTAAAGCAGCCTAAAAAAAAAAAAGAAAAAAGAAAAAAAAATCCATGGCATCACTTTAAGCAAAAGTTATATAACTCTTTAAAATACTGGTTATTGACCTAAAAAGAGCATGCTACAGGGACACTACTACATCGATGTTCATAGCAGCACAATTCACAATAGCAAGACTGTGGAACCAACCTAGATGCCCTTCAATAGATGAATGGATAAAAAAAATGTGGCATTTATACACAATGGAGTATTACTCTGCATTAAAAAATGACAAAATCATAGAATTTGCAGGGAAATGGATGGCATTAGAGCAGATTATGCTAAGTGAAGCTAGCCAATCCCTAAAAAACAAATGCCAAATGTCTTCTTTGATACAAGGAGAGTAACCAAGAACAGAGTAGGGACGAAGAGCATGAGAAGAAGATTAACATTAAACAGGGATGAGAGGTGGGAGGGAAAGGGAGAGAGAAGGGAAATTGCATGGAAATGGAAGGAGACCCTCAGGGTTATACAAAATTACATACAAGAGGAAGTGAGGGGAAAGGGAAAAATAATACAAGGGGGAGAAATGAATGACAGTAGAGGGGGTAGAGAGAGAAGAGGGGAGGGGAGGGGGGATAGTAGAGGATAGGAAAGGCAGCAGAATACAACAGACACTAGTATGGCAATATGTAAATCAATGGATGTGTAACTGATGTGATTCTGCAATCTGTATATGGGGTAAAAATGGGAGTTCATAACCCACTTGAATCAAAGTGTGAAATATGATATATCAAGAACTATGTAATGTTTTGAACAACCAACAATAAAAAATTAAAAAAAAGAATTAAAATAAAAAAATAAAAAATAAAATACTGGTTATTTCTTTTAAGGAAATGTACTTCAATAGTGGAGAAAATCTTCACTGAAATGAAAGTATTTCATATTAAAACAATTATTAAATTCACAACAGTTATTTTAACTTGCAATAAAAAAATGAAGGCATGTAAAATAAAAGCATATGTATGTTCTGGGAGTGGGGGGTTGGGGTGGGGTTTAGACCAGGGATTGAACTCAGGGGTGCTTGACCACTGAGTCACATCCCCAGCCCTATTTTGTATTTTATTTAAAGACAGAGTCTCACTGAGTTGCTTAGTGCCTTATGATTTGCTGAGGCTGGCTTTGAACTCATGATCCTCCTGCCTCAAGCTCTGGGATTACAGGCATGTACCACCAGGGCCAGCTAAGCATATATTTTTTTATTTGTTCTTTTTAGATATATATATTTTATCTGTGCAGTAGTGAGCATCTGTTTCTTACAACTCTTTTTTTTTTTTTTAGATAAATTTTTTTTAATATTTATTTTTTAGTTTTCAGTGGACACAACATCTTTGTATGTGGTGCTGAGGATCGAACCCGGGCCGCATGCATACCAGGCAAGCGCGTTACCACTTGAGCCACATCCCCAGCCCTTCTTAAAATCTTGATAAGCTCTTTATAACATTACATAGTCAGCCTTATATATTGTAAGTTAAAAAGGCAACAAACAATTCTAAAATTGGTGAGTTTTCAAAAGAATGAAGTTGAATTCTCACACCACATATAAAAAACTAATTCAAAATGGATTCAAGGTCTAAACAAACATATGAGCTAAAACTAGAACAGAGGGCAAGTTTTATGACACTAGGTTAGGCAATGATTTCTTAGATATGGTATCAAAAGTTCAAGAAACAGCTTCCAAAAAAAAAAAAAGGAAAATGGATTACAACTACTTGACCATGAATAGGTGAATGCAGCAACCCACAAAATGGGAGAATTATT